TCTGCGTGACTAGTTACAACGACTTCACCGAATTCATTCCTAAACTTTGCTCTGTGTGCTCATTTAAAACGCTGCATTAGAGACAAAGCACCGAGTTCATCCAAAAACGTGGCCCGGAGGTTTTCTGTCCAGTTGGTCGTCTGGTTTTTGTTGTGGTTGAAGTTTAATTGGCTGAAAGATGGTTGTACACATATTGTCAGTGTATATTAAGTGTGTGCATGTTGTGTTCTTTTATAATGATGATGTGTAAGTCCATCACATACGAGCAGTCGTGAGGAGTAAACGTGTGCTGCATATGTGGTTTGGTCCTTTGGTCTTATTTTGTATTTGTGGTTCAAACTGGGAGGTTTCTAGCTATAAAAGTGAACATTTTATCCCAAATGCTCCATAAACTGTGATTTCCAGCAGCTGTTTAAAAAAAAGTAAAATCTGTAAAGTTCCATGTAAGCCTCTGAGAGGGTGTGCTGCTCCAGCTGAGGCCAGATCACTGACAGACACTTATGGAGATGAGATGCAAAGAAAACATATTGATCAAGATGTGAACATTCAGTGAGTCTGATTTACAAGGACTGAGATTGTTCCTCTTCATTTAAACTGGTGAAAACATCTTGTTTTTACAGGAGTCAGTATAAAGACAATGAGGCTGTTCCTGCACTGCAAAACGTGGAAAGTTGATTTTACTTAAACAAATCTAAGAAACCGGTTGCACTTCAAAAAGGTCAGTAAATATAACCATCAGCCTTAAATTCAGTTTACTGCATATCTACTTGTAAAGTTTACCTACAATTTATCTGTATTTACTTAATTTTGTGAACTTAAAAACAGCATCATAGTATAATGAATTTGATCTTTGTGTTAGAGTGCAGTGCTGTAAAACTGTGTTAGAAACTTAAATAGTTATTGATCAGATTTATTCAGCGCTTTTCTAGACACGCACAGTTGGTTTACACTGTCAATCATTCATTCACACACATTCATTCCGGTGGTGGTAGCTACGCATATCACACCAGGCAGGTGGTGCAGTGCCTTGCCAAAGGACACAACGACCATGACACAGATTACAGGAATTGAACTGCCAACCTTCCGATCATTGACCCGCTCTACCACCTGAGCCCCAGCTGCCCCATAAAGTTTCTGGAAACTTCTCTACTGCACATGTGCACTGCTGAGCTCTGGGTTTA